CTCATTTCATGTGTAAGGAGCCACGAGGGAGCGATAAACCCAGAGTTCTAATTGTGTGTGAATGAACAGGAAATGCTGGCAAATTATTCAGGGGAGATGTGAGAAGGTGTTCCCAAGTGATGGGTCCAAGTGGTGTGTAAGTGGTAGTCCAGGGCTGAGAGATCATAGGTGGTATCACTCTTTAGGGCAGTAAATGGCACACCTAGAGGCAGGAGTTGAGATTCTAAATGACATCTCCCATGAAGGAGTCTGGGACAAGCTGCTCCTCTCACCCTTGAGACCAAAATGTAGGTGAATGCAAACATACTTGGTTGGTCTGATAGTCTGAATTCTTTACTAACCAGTCAAGAGATCATGCAGTGGGACCCAAAGTAAGTCCATACAAATCAACCCATGTCTCTTATTTGTGTGTGTGCTTATACATACACACACATAAATATATATATTTATATACATATGTTCATATATACATATATTTATATGTATATATATGTACATTTATAATGACTTAATTCAGTAATATATAACTTATTGTTTATAATTTAAATGTATTTACATAAATAATAAACTTTTATTATTTTTTCCAGGCTGTGGATGTAACCATGTATATGGGAAATGCTCTATATCAGGGTTGTTAACAACTCAGCTGTTGGCTGATAGTTGCTTAGGCCATTTCATACCAGGCCTGATTTACAGAACTTGTGTTTCATGGAAGGAAACTTTATTGCTTGTACAATGAGAGGTGTGAGTCCTATGAGTGCCTGTGTGCCTGGGACTCAGGAAATATCCTGACTAGACCAAAAGGCAGTCTTCCTGATTTATGCAAATTTATTCGTCTGCCCTTTTTCCTCCCTATTGTGTTTGCCTAGACTGCACATCTGGTCATATCATGGCAGACTATGGAGATGAGAAACTCTTTGTTTTCTACACAAATGGAAGAAAATAATCTGATGCTGCTGGGGTGTCCTACAGAAGTTGTTCTCAGGCTGGGGTTGCAAATTGGTCCATGAAACTGGTTGGGAATCTGCATTTGCAGTTCTGGAGTGGAACAGACTCATTTCATCTTCCATTTCATGGTTGTAGAGATGTTGAGAGTGTATAAATCACAGTGGTTGCATTGTGCTGAGTAAGTTCCAGAATTGCAGATAGAGAACTAATGTTGCTGGAGGTGTAGATTATTGTCTTTGGGGAGGGCATCCATCGAAAATGGCTTTGAAATCACTATTTCAGTGACAGTATACAGATGGATGTTGTGCCTGTATGTGGCTCAGGGGACTTAATGTCCCAAATTGTAGTTTCTTAACAATTTTCTTTTGTGTTCTGGAAAAGTACAGAGATGCAGGGTATTGTTGAGAATAGAGAGCTTTGGCTTCCTGGAGCATTTATGAAAGTCTCTTGTCAGGTGGTGGGGGGCACCATAGAAAGCAAATTTGAGGAGGTTTGAGGTTGTCAGGAAAAGAGGTGCCAAGAAGCCCCATGTTACAGTGAAGGTTCAGTGTCCAGTGGTGTTGTGGATAAGCACCATGTGTATGGACTACTCCCTGTTCCTCCCAGGGTCTTTCCATAGAGTTCCTTTGAGCCTCTGTTATGCCTCAGGTGCGAGGTAGAGGAGATGAAACACAGTTTCATCATAGTTTCTGTAAAACTGACCCTGTTTGGTTAAAGGGCTTTCCTAGCTTTTTAAGCTGCTCTTTTTCAGTAGCAAGGGTTGATTTACTTGGGTGGGTTGGTTTCCTTTGTGTGTGTGTGTGTTTCTCTGTGTGTGCATATGGGTTTTATTTTTCCTTCTAATGTTTCCCTGTAGAAATCATCTGCAGGACAGATGGCCTGTTAAGCTTCTGGGGTTGTCTCTCATAAACACCTGTCTAATGCAGCTGGGAACCAAAGAGAAATTCTCCTTTTTAATGCCTTTAAAAAGAAACAGTACCTGATCCTAATATGTCCTACTTCCCTGTCCCTCTCTCCATCCTCTCAGCTTCCTGGGAAACTTAACTGCTTGGTTGTGGCCATCTGTTGAGACAGCGAGGGGCTGGGTGGGGAGGTGGCTGGGGAGAGCAAGGGCAGCTTTGAGGTGATGGGTTGCTGTGGCTGGCTGGGCTGAGAGCCTTGGTGGCAGAGAGGAGGATGATGCAGGGGATGAACTTTCATGTAAGTCACATAGATGAGAGCTGCTGAAGCAGCTGTTGTACATTGTTGTGCTCGTACCTTGCCTCCTTTGTATTTGCAGCCAAAATGCACCTCAACCCAGGGATGGGCTGCTTGAGAAGGCAGGGTGGCGTGGCCAGGCTTGCACATGGGGTGTGAGCACACACATGTGTGGTAGATGAAGGGTGAAGCCTGTGTGTCCCCTGTGGCAGCAGCCCCCAGAACCCAGACAGAGGGGCTGCACTGGGGCCAGCTGGGCACCCGTGGGGAGCCCTGTGTACTGTGCTGGTCACCGCAGCTGTGCAGGGAGCCTGCTCAAGCCCGTGCAGCGTGTCACAGGCTGCCCTGCCAGCTGCTGCGAGAGGCAAACAAGCATTTCTCCCCTGAGGTGCTGCCCAGGCTTGCATGGAGGGGTCAGCGAGTTGCTGCAGGTGGTGGTTGGCAGGCCGGCAGGAGTGAGGTTGCTGTATTTAATTATAGCTCCCATCTGAGAAACTAGTAGAGCAACAGAGCTTTTTTATCGTGTTCTGGGGAAACTGAGCACTTTACAGGTTTTGATTACTGTATAACACATCCCGCGACACAGACAGAAACTTTCCTGTGGTCTCTGCAAAAGGAAATTTGAAAACCTAGGGGCAATAAAATTCCAGAGACGGGCCATACCTCCCAGATGCTGTGGGATATAGCCAATAGTGGTTCTTCTTGGGGCAGGATGTTTGTACAGCCACGACGAGCCTGGGGGCAGGAGCTGCTGCACCCAGGGACTGCGGAGGAACAATGTGGAGGAGGATGCAGGGGCTGAGCCTGCTTGGGCTAAAGCAGCCCTGAAGCAGACGGAGGAGAGGATGCATGGAAAAGGCTGATTGGACTTCAGACTTTGGATGTCCATTTTTGCATGAAGTGGTGACTGAGTACACAACACAAGTTAACTCTTTCCTCCCCAGAAGGTTGCAGAGGGCTCTGTCCCCTGTTGAGAGGTGATGGTGGCTGTTTCCATTACACTTGAGATTGCCAGAGCTGCTGTAGGCACTGGGTGCAACTGCCTTGTGAGTAGAGGCTTTGTGGTCACGGGCAACTCTGCACCTCTCACAAACAGCTTTGGAGAGCTCAGTCAATGGTATTTGGCCATGAGATGTGCTTAGCCTGAAGGGTGAGCTTAGATGTGCCTGAGGCTCTTGGTGCGTTGCAGATGACTTGGGAGATGATCTGGAGGCATCCAGTGAAGATGTCCTTTGACCTAAGGATGTTGCTTTGCATTTTCATCATTTAGGGGCAGGAAATCTACTGCCCAGGTTTGTAGGTGTTCCCTAGGGATGACACAGTCTCCCTGCACCTTTTAGAGTTGCTTAAGGAAGCAACTCCCTTTGCCTTTTAGAGTTCTTTACGGGGCTGTGGCAGGGCTGGGCATGAGCTTCTGTCAAGACATGCTTCCTGCTGGTATTGCAAAAAACCTTCTGTGCTGGAAGGGCTGGTGTTTCTGTGGGAACGGAGTCCTGTGTACCTGGCTTGTTACAGGTGAGAAATCGGAAGTCTCCCTGTTGCTTAGGGGTACAGACTGTGCCAGACAGAGCGGGAGCAGCCACCACATTCTGCTGCTGTGGTGGCTAAGTGCTAATTGTTTTTACTGCCTGAGCATCAGGTTATTTTTGGCTTTATCAAGTTTAATTCCCAGCTGGCTGGTTGATGGTAGAGAGGTCCTAATAGTCTAAATCTCCACGCTTGATAGAAATCTAGACAGGAAGCTGGTTTGCTCACTGTGGGTTTGGGATGTGCAGTTGCAGAAATAGACAATGAAAATAGCTATATTTTGGTAGTTACATGGGACATGGAGAGTTCTGGCTCAGGGTTTGCTGTGCCTTGGGCTTCCATGGGAAACTCTTGCTAGGCCATTTAGATAGGATGCACAAAGAGTTTTGTGACTCACAGGTGTGTTTTTGGGTTAGACATAGACAACTTACCCATGCCTCAGGATTTCAGAGTCCTGAAGTGTCTGAGGTTGTTTATGAACAGATTTTAAGCGGATAAAAGTGAGCAGACTGAACCTTCATGTATGGTGGGGAAAAAAGGAGTCTTGGGTCCCATGGGATTAGGCAACAGTGTACTGTTTGCAAGGACCAAGATACTTGGTAGATCTATGGATCTTGTCCTGAATCCACCTGTGTTTCCACTGCCTCTGCTCTTTACTGTGCGCATGTTTGAGCCCAGGCTTTCTTGACAGCTCTGTGGCTGATGAGGTATGGGATCCAGAGCAGCTGCATGGACCCAGGACTGTCCTCAGCAGAAGGAGACAGACTACCATAGCCTGGAGGAACATCAGAAGAGCTAGACAAATCCATTACAGCTGCCAGGCCCTTGCAAGAGAAATGCTGTGGGCATCAACCCATCTCTGAGGGCACAACTGCCATGGTGGATGCCCTTCTCATATGTAACTTCATTGTGCTGCTGGAGAACTCCCCTGGGCTCTGCCAGTTCTCCCAGAGAACTCCAGTGCTGGAAAGGGACACTGCCTCTGCTTCATCTGCTTCATACTTAGTATTGGTTCTCAATCTGTGCTCTGTAGAAGATGCTTAGACATTGCAAGTGCCCTGTTAGGCTTGACATCCACATCCAGTGCAGACATCCACCACACCTTTTCGGATAATTCCTAGACATAACAAATCAAAGTGGGCTTGAGATGTTGGCCTGTCTTAGACATAATGACTTGGTAAATCTAACACAGGAGTGCAAGAATCCTCTCACTGGTCTGAACGTGATAGAGTTGAACAAACTGTGTCCAGCTGAAGTGTATAAACATTTCATTGTCCCAGCTTGGCTCTAGTTTCATACTCCCTTCCTCTGCATAGAGATTGGAAGTGCCATCAAACCCTTGGAGCGAGAGATTCTGTAGTGACAGCTCTTTAATTCAAGCACCACTGCTTTGTCAGGTAAAAGGCTGCACTGTGGATGACAGTGCCATTCAGCTTAGCAGGAGGCAGCATCCCTGCTCCCAGGGCCCTGGGGAGCGCTGTCCTCCAGGCAGCCAGTTTGCCACCCACGAGCAGTTAGGCTCTGGCTTGCAGGAGCTGTAGGCTGTCAGCTCCAGGTGCTGCTGGAGCGGGGTCTGGCTCTGCACTCGGCAGTGGGTGCGCAGCTCTGGCTGCTGCAGCGCCGTGTGCGGTTGAGTCTCCTCTCTCCCACGCTGCGGAGCTCGCCTCTCCAGACGCTGGGAGGGAAGCAGAGACGTTGGGGGAAGAGCTGTGGAGGTGGGACAGATTCAGCTATGATTGGTGTGGCACCAGTGGGGTTTCTTTGCACCACTAAGCAATAGCTATCAAAATTGAATGCAGTATGATGAAGAGCTGAGCAAGGGAGCAGACACTGAAAGGAGCCTGCGAAGAAAAGGGATCTAGGAGGAAAAAACCCTCTTTCAGCTGCACATAGGCAGTGCCCATCACAGAGAGCTGTGGCAGGGAGTAGGAATTGCCTGTGTATGGTGGTTGATCTGCACATTCCCTGGGATGCTTGGAAAAAGGATTAAGGAGGAGAGAATCGCAGGAGAAGGAGGAGGTGGAGTTTTCCCTTTGCAAACTCACAGGCTAATAGAAACAATCCTCTAAGTTGTCAGTGTGTCAGGATACATTAATGTAAGTATAGTGTTTTATAATCCTCAGCATCTTCTATCTGAATGTCACTGAATTAGCGTTAATTGCATTCATTAGCTTGTTAGCCATTAATATTCAGTATTCGTCAGCCTGGCTCTGGCTCTGGTTGAGGGGGATAATGAGATGTGGGACTGGTTGTGGGGCCATGCTATAGCTTTGCTGTAGGAGTGTGGGTTTATGCACCAGATTGTTTTATTGGCATTTGTGTCTGGCCCGTGTTGTCCCGGCTCTTAGCCAGTGGTTTACCACAAATTATGGAAACTCTTAATGGGAGAGCAGTGTTAATGATGATGTGGATAAATTTCCACCAACTCCTGCCCTGAAAGCAACTAGCGAGACAAATTACGAAGGCAAATTTTGATCTTTTGGCCTTGAGCCAGTTGCTAAACTGCCTCTGTAATCACAAAGCTATTCAGTGCGGTCTGCATTGGTGAGTCATGGAGTCCCACCTTTCTTTTCTTCTTGCTCTCAGGAGAAAGTCTCTATTACTTTTTTTTCTTTTTCTTCCTTTTTTTTTTCTTTTTCTTCCTTCTTTTTTTACTTTTTTTCCTTTTTTGTTTTTTTTTTTTAATTTTTCTTCCTTTTTTTTATTTTTTTTACCCCCCTTTCCATCTTCCCTTCCTCTGACATTTCTGACCATGAGGCCAGAGCAGGAGGTGTGGGCATCAGGCTTTCCCAGGCAATAAACCAGGAAAGATCCAGAAATGTCAGGATGGCATGGCCAGCACACTCAGCACTCTAAATCTGTCAAGACCAGCAAGCCTCAAGTCTCTTATCCCTGAGGAGAGCCAGTAGGATTCTCCTGCTCAGGCCCACTGCCAGACTTTCCCCCCCAACTTTAGAGATGTGGGATGGCCTCAGAGTGAGAGAGAGGAGCATTCACCACGCGACTGTTGTGTCACAATTGGAATGGATGCATTTTGATTGGAAAATGCCGGGCTAGAAATCCCACAGCAACGTCTTCTCTGGTTTCAGCACTTCTGGTGGGAAACCACTCAGCCTTCAACCTTGTGAGTCTGGATCAGCCAGGAGCAGAAAAAATTGCAAAAACTGTAGCTAGTGAAAGAGTTTGAGCTTTTCTTTTAGACCTATCACTCTGGCTTTAGCATGGATTTTGTGTGCATTATCTAGATTTGAATACACACAATTTATTGTGACAGTTTAGATTGGCAAACCACAGACATGATAAATCTTTCAAACTTTTCTACTGTCAGCTACCACTTGAGCTTCCTGCCTTGTGCTCAAAAGTAGGCCTGAGTATACAACTTCTACCTTCTGTGCCATTATTTTCCACTGTCCCAGTTCTGAAATATTTCTAGATCCTGACTGCAGCATCTGGCTTTGTGCTGCCTTTCCAGGAACTTGGGCTTAATTATTCAATGAAATAGGAGCAAAAACCCACGACCAAACAAGCCCTGCTACAATCCAAAAGAAGTACCTCCAAAGCACAGAGTAGTTCAGCTGGTTCACTGAAAATCATATTACCTGGTCTGCTGAAAGGATCTTATTAAACCCTTGATCATGGGGCTCACCTTTTGCACCATCCCAGCAAGACTTCTTAACTTTGCCTTAAAGAAAGAGTTATGTTGGACACTTGCAGACAGGATGGGCTGTTCTTGTCTCAGCCACCAAAGGGAAGGGTTTTCCTTTGAGAGAGAAATCCCTCGCAAGGCACTGGCACAACATTTGCATGCACAATGCCAGAATAATTTTCTATCATTTTATTATTCTCCAAAGACTCATGAAATATTTAGACATCAGCATAAATTGTCTCCTGGGGCAGCTCTGGGAAGGTTCAGCTGGGGTATGAGCCCTACACTTGCTTGGGCTGAATTAGCTGTGCTTGGTGCCTGGGGAGAATTTCTCTGGGTCTCTGGAAGGGTCAAGTAGCAAATGGAAAAAAGTGTTTGTGTTCAGCTGAGCCAAGATAAAATGAAGACAAATTGGAAGAAAAAGCTTTCTGAACTGAGGATTTCCAGGGTTTTATATTTGTGGGATGAGACAGAGTGATTTTGTGGGACTCAATACCTGTAGCTTTATACGCATGCCAGGGCAGAAGTTATCTTTTTCAATTCTCATTGCCTGTATTTACTTATCCCTGATAATATTTGTAGTTTCTAATTTCCATCATTTCCCAGAAAGTAAAGTGAGTGTCCTCAAGGAAAATCATGCCTCTGGCTTCTTGTTGCTCAGGGGCTGATATGTTCTGGCACGGCCTGGGGGCTGCAGCATCAGGAGTAGTGGGACACACAAATTAATAACTGATACTTGAAATGGCAGATTAAGAATGTGATGTATTGCATGAGAAAAGAAAAAAGGCCAAGCATTACTTAATGATTTTAATTCCCCTAGTCTGAGACACAATTCCCCTAATCTGCAAAACAGCAAAGAGGTACTATTGGGCATTGCTTCATGCTGGGATAGACGAGATTATGGTTTATAGGTCAAAAAGCATTTATAACTAAATGTCCATGCTAAAGCCACTCTGCTCTAAGTTTTTTCTTTCCCCTCCCATGGCAGATCCCAGAGACGGCAGGATCATTCTGAGATGAGCCACCTGTAACTTGGGCCGGCCTCGTTGCCAGGGCTCCCTGCCCCACGAGGATGAGGAGCCGTCTGCCAGCCTAACAGAAAGATTTTGCGTCGGCGGTTGTTTTATTTTTCCCAGATGTCGTGAAATTTCATGTGACAGCGGAGTCGCTTCCTGCACCTTCCTTGTGCCACCTCCCAGCCAAGGGCTCGGTGGGGCAGGGCCACCGCCATGGCGGCGAAGCAGCCCCCGCCGCTGATGAAGAAGCACAGCCAGACAGACCTGGTGAGCAGGCTGAAGACACGCAAGATCCTGGGCGTCGGCGGGGAGGATGATGATGGTGAGGTCCATCGCTCAAAGGTGAGGGCAGCAGAGAGCAAAGGCCATGTGCGGTAATGGTGGAAAAGGGACCTTCTGCTGGGCAAATCAGGGTTGGCCTATCCACGTAGTTTGGGCTAGTTACAACCAGGCATTGTGAATGGGAGCATGTTCACATGAACATGAACAGCTCTGGGTGGTGTGCACATGACAGCAGGACAGATACTGTGACACCCTGAGGGCTCTGCAGGAGCTTGTGCTCCATCAGGATGTGACATGCAGGTGTGTGAGGAGTCAGTTCCCTTCTTCCATAGCTAAGAGGAAACAGGAGTTAAGTGTTGACCCTTCCCCAGCTGCATGCTGCAGGTGGCTGATCCCAGTAAGGGAGCAGTAGGGACTGCAGCTCCTCATGGAAATCAAGGCAGGTGTTGGGATCAAAGAGTCACAGCTGAATCCTTTGCCCTCCTCCTTCTTCAAGCCCTCTGAGATAAACTCCCACATGGGATTAGATATGAGGTTTTGGGCTGGTGAGTACTGCCTGAAGACTGGAGAAGGATCTGCTTAGCTTGTGTCTTTCATTTGAATTTCAGATTAGCCAAGTACTGGGAAATGAAATCAAGTTTGCAGTCCGGGAACCACTAGGACTCAGGTAAGGTACTGGATCACCTTGGAGCTAGGTTATCTGAGGACCCTTGGCCCTGGGAGCTCTGCTTTCTGACAACAACTCTGCCACTGTGTGAGCATCACTGCTCCCTGCAGGGGCTTCTTGCAGGCTGTGGAACCAGACCAGCTCTTCATTCTTCCCCCATTAATGAGACTGAGGCACTCAAGCTCCTGTCTCATTGTATATGCAGACAACTACAAGGGCTGCGTGGGGCTGGAGGAGCTCCTGTTCTACTGTGTGTGTCCTGTGGGGACCCTACTCTGCACCATCCTCTTGGCACCTCTCTCCTTTTCTTGGGTGTGGGGGTCTGGCTCTGTCTCACCAGCAAGGCTGGTCTGCATGTTGAGGCTGAGCTAGCAGGATGTGGAAAGCTGAGACCTTCCATGAGAGGTTTCTGGCTGTCATGTTTGTGCGTGGGGAAAGGCTGAAGGCTGATGAACGAGCAGGCAGCCAGAAATACTTTGTGAAGTATGAGTGATGGGGTCCCCCCAAGCTCATGCTGGGTCCTCTGTCTTCCCTCTCACGCAGGGTCTGGCAGCTTGTTTCCGCCGTCATGTTTTCCGGGGTCGCTGTCATGGTAAGTGAGGGATGTGTTCCTGGCAAGAATCAGCTCCTGACTGCTAATGGGGTGCCCCAGCATGGCCCTTTGGTCCCTGGCATTTCTCTTCTCCCCTGCCTCCAGCAGCTCCTACTGCTTTCTCCTGCAAGGCCTTTGCCCTCACTGTCTCTGTGATGGGCTTTGCCAACAGTGGCCCTGGCAGTTTGTTCCCATTGTGAGCCTGTTTTCATTAGCAGGGCCCATAAACCGGGGAAAGACAGCCCGGGTCACAAAAACCAGCCATGCAGCTCATAGCTGACATGGTGATATTTCTGCACCTCCCTAATTTCCAGTTTCCTGGCCAGCAATTCCAATCCTACAAAGGCCTGATGCTGCTGCCCAAGAAGTCTTTTTTTGGTGGCCAGTTCAGGTTGTTGAGTTTCTCTCTCACCTCTGCCAGGCCCTTGCTTTCCCTGACCAGCTCTTTGATGCCATCTTTGAGGAGGAATCGGTGAGCAGCAAGACTCCCATCCGGCTCTATGGAGGAGCCCTCCTCAGTGAGTGCCGTACCACCACGCTGGGGATGCTGCTGCCCCGCAGAGGAAGGGCACAGGTGGCCAAAACGGCAGCAGGGGACAAAGCCCATGCCCGGCCGGACACCTGCAGATGGAGAGCAGAACATCTGCTGTTAGCAAAGAAATTGCCGAGGGGTATTTTGAAAAGCTTGGCTACTGCTGCTTTTTCCTAGCAGGGATTCAGGCAGGTAGGGTAAGAAGGAAGGGCTGTGCACGCTCCGAATCCCTGGGGGATCACCCCGCGTACCCCAGCGAAGGGAGCCTGCAGAGGGGGAGAGGGGCAGGCGGCATCCCGGGCGGCGCGGGGAGCCGGGGGAGGCTGTGCGGGGAGGGGCTGGGCCGGGCCGCGTCCTGCAGCGGCACCGCGCGGGGCGGGCGGGAAGCGCGGCCGGCGCCGGCCTGGCAGCGCGCCGCTGTCCCCGCAGGCATCGCGCTCATCATGTGGAACGCCCTGTACACCGCCGAGAAGGCCATCATCCGCTGGAGCCTGCTGGCCGAGGCCTGCTACTTCGCCGTGCAGTTCCTGGGTGAGTGCCGGGACGAGGAGGAGGGCGCGAAGACCGCGTGGGAAAGCGGGACCCACGGTGGGCAGGGCGCTGGCGTGTTCCGTGCCAGCTGCTCGCCTTTCTTCTCCCCCGTGGAATGGCCTCTGCCCTGGGCTGCTCCTTGAACATCGCCCTCTGCCAATTCGGTAATTTTTCCCCCTGCAAATGTCCTGGGCTTCATAGCCAGCACAGGTCATTGCTGGAGCATGCTGCCTAGATGCAGGGTCTAACAAGAAAAGATTTTAACAACCTACACTAAAAAGGGGGATGTTTAGTATTGCCAAAACAGAGCATAGCACTTAGCTTGTTTCTAGGGAGCTTATCTATATTTAACAATGAAGGGGGTTCTTGTATGTGTGTCTTGGTAGCTCAGTGTATAGCTGGTTTAGATATGAACTATGTGTTGGTGGCCAGAAAAGTTCGATAGAGGTGATGTGTGTGGACTGTGCATATTCTATAGATGCTTCTAAAGTTGAGAAATGTTTATCAGCACTGAAGTGTTCAAGCCACAAAACAAACTTAGGAGGATGTGACTCCCAGATTAACACCTGAGCATAATGGAAACTCACATCTGCTTGAGTGACTGTTTCAAGCTGCCTGAATGTGGGGCTGCCTTGAAAGCAGGTTCTGTCTAAGGGAGAGCTCTGGGGTCCACGGCAGTCTTCAAGGCTGTGAAAAGAAGCTAGTGAAGAGCCTCTGCCATGGGCTCGCTGTGCATGTGAGCGAGCCTGTGCTGAAAGCTCCTGCACTTAAAAGGCTCAGCAGTTCCTGCCGAAGCTCTGCGTTAGAGGGCAGCAGAAAACAGCGTTGTGCCATTTGTCTCCTTTTTGGTTTTACATCACCAACCTCTGTCTTGTCTCTCTCCTTCTCCTCCAGTTACCACTGTCTCCCTGGCTGAGAGCAGCCGGATAGCCACAGGTGCCGTGCTTCTCATGGTCAGCCGAGCCCTCTTCATCCTCATCAGCATTTATTATTATTACCAAGTTGGACGTCGTCCCAAGAAAGTCTAATTCCTGGGCTTTTTTGTTATGGGAAAGGTGGGAGGGGGGAGTTTGTGTCGGTAATTTGGCATTATAATTATACATTTTAATTTTTTTTTTTGTTAGTCCCTTTTGGTTCTAGTTTCCTTCTTTACCGGCATGAATCAGTGTGAAACCCAGTGCTGGTGGCATTGCCAGGTGAAATGGGGGGAGCAACATCAGTGGGACCCCCCCAGCCCCTCTGCAGGAGGTGAGGAACAGTGGGGAGGAAGGCTCAGGGACGTGTGTGGGCCTGGCAGGCTCAGGGAAAAAAGCCAGTTTTCTAGGGGGAACTGGCTGATGGGATCACAGGCTCTGAACCCACTGGAACAAAGCACAAAATAAGGCCAGCATACTGAAACCAAATCCCTGAGGAGACAGGGCAGTAAGACAACCAACAAAGGATCTGGCTACTCTATTTGGTAAGCCTTGCACCTCCCCTGGTTTACAGCCCTTTCCCCTTTTAGCAAGTACTGACTACCCAGGTAGCCAAAGCTGGATGGAGTCAAGTTCAGTGCTTTGCAAATAGCTCTTCTTTCCTCTCTGCCAGAGATGCATTTTTGTGTAGTTCATAGTTTTGCACCAGATGCTGTGTAGGGCTTGGCAAGAGATACAACAAAAGAAGAGGGAGGACCCTGGTTGTTCCCTCTGCAGGGACATCACTGGGAACAGTGGAGCAACTTGAATTACAAGATGTGGGAAGTGGGAAGCTACTGGAAATAGCCCATTGAGCACAAAGACATCCCCTTGTTTGGGGTGTTTCATGAAGTTTCTAGGCTGGGGTCCTGTCCCCTTCACCCCAGAACACTTCCTACAGTTGAAGCTTTACTGATGGTAGTAGCAGTGGTGGGTGTGCAGGTGCTTTAGTTGAGCAGGAGCTGGAGCGCTGTTGTGGTTAGCACTGGTAAGAGCAGAGGACTGTAACAGTAAGAGCATCTGCACAGATGCTTGGGTCAGTGAATTGTCTCTAGATCTGGGCTCTGGCTGTGGGAGATGATGTTCCAACTTTGCTAGTATCTGCATCACATCTCTTCTGACCTTGAGAAGAGAGGACCAAAGTTTGTAGCATTAAGATATTTAATATGTAAATGGGATGAAGAACAGCAAAGAGCGGAGCGTATGATGGCAAGGACAGACTAAATGTGCTTTAGTACTCGCTAGCCAATTTCTCCAGCATCTCCTGGGCTTAACAGCATTGCCTGCTCTGCTTCCTCGTGCTTTTCTTGTGGATTATCCCTGTCCACAGCTTGAGGCAGCATTTTTTATTCTCCATGGGACTAAAGCCAGAAGGTCTGTGTACAGGATATAGATTTGTTACTCATGCACTACTGTTGACTGGATCAAAGCACATCCTGGAATATAGCTGATGTTCCAAAATCCCAGTAGAAAGATTCCTACACAAACAGAACTGCTTGTGTGAACAACAGTCCTCAAGCCACTGGTAAGACTGGGATCTACAGCTATTGCTGTTTAATATCTTAGTAGAGTTAGAAGAAGGTAGTGGGTAGTTATTGTATGTTGTGTTAGTGCTTTTGGCATTTAGAAGCAGCTGCATAAGCTTGGGAAACTGTGTGCATTGTACTTACTGGCCATGCAAAATGTCTGTCACGTAACAATATTGGAAATTGTTAAATCAGGAAACATCACAACTGTAACTTAGTTTTTTGCCTAATAAGTAAATCAAATGGAGAGGCAACATCCAACAGTAGGCTAAATTCTGGAGCCTCATGACAATACGCGCTTGTCAAGCTGCTTTCAGCATGTCCAAAAATGATACTGAGCAACTAAAACTTTTAATTAGGAGGAGATTTCCTGTTCAGATAGAAGAATTGGGGTCTAAGAGGCAAACCTTTCCCTGTGAGGCAGGTAATGATCAAATGCAGACTGGAGAGGATCAGAAATTAGACAAAGTGGTGCAGCATGCTGGAGCCAGAGCATGGCATGCTGTGGCTGTTGCTCTCCCCCTGTGCATCACCTGCATGGGCAGCTGCAATGGCCTCAGTGTGGCACTTTGGCTGTAGTTGTGGGTATAGGTATGTGAGACTTGATTCTTTATGTTTTGGGATGTCACATGAATGTATACACAGATTGATGGTTGGTTTTTGGGGGTGGGTTGGGAATTATGTTTCTAGGACAGACAAGTAAAACCTACCACAGCAAAAGCAACCTTACAGAAGAAGGACATGGAGGGTCTTCTTCATGCTGCCTCCCATCTGTTGGCCACAGGTCCTATGAACTTAGTTATGACTCGGGGCTAATTAACATACCTTAAAATGTCATCCCATAGGTGAGAGAAGTGAGTTAACTGCACTATGTGAGAGCAGTACTCCAAAGGCGTCTTGATGGTTAGATCAGGTAGGACTGTGGGGGAAGCAGTTACATCTCTCCAGGTTAGCTTTAAATAAGAAATTAGATTTCTCTGGTCCCCTGATAAGCAGCTGCTTCTGCAAAACTTGAAACAGCCACTCTAGGTTTGCTGGTCAATGGCTTTTTCTGCTCCAAAATAGAGCAAAGCCTGGGGGAGTGGTCACTTAAAAGATTTCATGCTACTTGGTACCTAGTCCTGAAAGTGGAGACACGAAGTTGGATTATTTTGATGCTTCTTGCTCCATCTTGCTGTAAGTGGACCATGTAGAAAATACAGAGCTCTACACCTCCTCTAACTAAGCTGTGGTTCCTGGCATGTCCCTTTCTCAGCAGCAGGAGAAACATTGTCAGGCTCACTGGAGGCGGTGAATGCATAGCAGGTGAGGCCTAGGAGGGAGTTGCTCAGGGTGTCTTGAGCAGCCCAGGTAGAGAAGCTGCAGCACTGCCAGAAACCAGCTGCACCTGGTTGTCTTCACTCTGCTGTGAATGGGGAGAAAGGGAGGAGTATGCCAAACCTGCACAGAACTGTGTCCCCAAGGATGGAAGTGCTGACATCACAGCTGCAGGTGGCAGTTGAGAACATAATTTGGGATCAAAAAACCCTGAGGTGTCACTTCAGGCTCATCTGCTGACAAAAAAACTCCATCTCCACTGGCCTCAGCTTTCTTATCTGTTATGTTGTGAGAGAGGCCTTGGACTGATGTCATCTCCTGAGGGAGACTGAAGGGAACTTCCTGCATTTGTACAATGCTGTGCAGGACTGGGGGTCTGTTCCCCAAAGAATTGTGCTCCAAGCAGGCACAGGCCAGGACTTAAAGCTGACCCCCTTTTCTCTGCCAGGGATGGACCCAAAACATTGCATTCAGAGAGCCCTCACTTTGGAGGGTGAGAAAAACTCATCAATTCACATAACTCCCTACATCTTCTTATTTGCATCTAACCAATATCTGGCAAACTGGAGCTGGTGATATAGGAGAGGCTCTGTCTGTCCTAAGCTGGCCTCTTTTCTGGTCAAGTGTTTTTACTTGGGAGGGTGTGGGTGGGGGGTGGTGGTGCAGGGGAGAATGGGACACTTCAATTTATACCTCATTTTAGCTGCTGTACCTGAGTTTATTTCTCCTCTGATAAGAAAGTGACTGTACTTAACACCAAGCAAATAGTGAAAATTAAAGCTGTTTCACTTCACTGTCACAATATCTTTCTTTTATTTTTTGGTTGTTTTTTTTTTTTAAGAAATGCACACAAAAACCGTGCAGAGAGTGCTTCAGGCTTGTGTTCTGGTTTATATTACAAAAAAAAATTCCTTTCAATATAAAAAAGCATTACAGTAGGGAATACAGGATAAATTAGCTCCACTATCTAATAAAAAGAACATTTACATTTTTTTAAAATAGATTTCAAACATTATTTCACACGCAGCCCTTTTCCCAGGCATTTGTGACAGTCATTGGAGCATTAAATAGCAACCAGGAGGCAGGCCCAGGCTGGTCTGTACTACTCCCTCCAAGGTGCTTGGGCCATGGTCACAGTGCTACAGCGAAGGAAACAGCAGCTCCTTCTGCTCTCCAGCCTGCCCAGAACTCTCCAGCCTGCCCAGAGTTCTCCAGCCAGCAGTGAATTCAGCTTGAGCCCCTGGCCCCAAAATACTCACCAGAGCTGTTAGAAACAAATACAAAAATACAATTGCTTCTCCTGCCTACAGTTCTGAAAACTACTGTACCACAGAGGGGACAGCCACGAAACCAAGGGACAAAACCAACAAATTTACATGCTTTGCCATACAGTGGGAGTCTGCTTTCTGGGCTTGCTTGTTCATTAAATTCCCCCAAGGAAATTCCTTCTGCATGTTACCAACTGCTACAGATCCTCTCAGACTTGTGCATATCTTTACAGCTATCTCCAGTTCTTGTTTGGAATTGCTGCCTGGCCTTTTGAGCTGTGTTCCCAGTGGCACATCAGCCAGCCTGCAGAGAGGATTTGAAATCTTCACACAGCAAAGAGCAGTGGGGGATCAGAAAAGGTAGAAGAGGAGAAACAGCTGTGCACAGCCTAGAATAACAGATGATGAAGAGATCCTTTTGAAGATACAGGGAGAGAAGGAAATTAGGGAGAGAGGGAAAGCAAGAAAGCTAAAAGCAGACAAAGCAATGAGTACAGAATTAGGAAAGCCAAAGAGAAACAACCCAGCCAAGATCATGCTTCAGGCATGTGTATTTAGTACTTTGTGCTCTGACTGCTTTCATCTGGTTCCCCCAGCTCTAACAGGTTTTTTCCCCCATGCCACTGGTGGCAGAAAAAGGCATGAAGGCTTCTTTTCCCCTTCAGCCACCCACCATGCACAAATGAGGATATTTGCCAGCCAGGCTCTGACCTGAGAACTCTGCATAATAAACTGAGGGGAAAGGAAGAAACTGGAGACTGGGGGAGGCAGTTCTGCTTCTTTCGATCACCTCCAGCCAAATTACCAATTCTGCTGACAGTTTTGTTCCTTCCCTGGGAATTGCTGTCCCAGAACAGTCACTGACACCAGCTCCTGAGGCAGAAGGAGAGCAGATAAGCTCTCTTTCTGCTCAGCCCATTCCCTACAAAACTGGTAAATGGAATAGATTTTTCTTATCTTAAGTGCAGCACCTGCTGTCCAGTACAAATACTGCTGGGTTTTGGTTAACAAAACTGTTTTTCTTTATTAAACAACAGACCAGAGTTTAATGCTAAAATGCCTCATTACAAGGAAGTCCAGAGGGAAATAGTTCTGAATAGTTTTCCAGAAGGTTTAATGCAACATCTGATGCTGCTCAGCAGCCCTGGCAACATATTTTGTTGCTGGAATATGCTGACTGCAGCACGGGGGGGCTGCAGCTCTACCTGCCCAGCCCTCTCTTGCCATTTAATAAATTGTTCTCAAATGAAGCTTGGAAAAGCTCCTAATGCCTTCTTCCTGCTCCCTAGTATCCTGATCCCCAACCTAGATACTTAACCATTGCCTATTGTGGCCCAGGCTTTCTGCTGCTTTGCTTCCTTGCCTGCAGTCTGTGCAGTGCCATGGGGACAGCTCAAGGGACACAGCGCCAGGGGTCTAAGGCAACAGCCAGAGGATGAACGTGCTGCTGCTGCTGCAAAAGCTGGGCACAAAGTTTAATGCTCTGCTCCTTCCTTGCAAGAGATTACAGTTTTCAGAGGAGCTGTCTTGAGCCTATATAAAAGTGCTCCCATAATCTGAACCTATAAAATCTGTAAAAAGACCTAATCTAAACAAGAAACCACAGCCCCTTCTGTCATTCCCAGGTAAAATGAGTTTGGGGCCGGGGAATAAGTGACCAGATGAACAATTTAAGGCAACAGAGATTGATGATTCCAGATGAGAGAAACCAGTCACCTGTCCAAGTCAATATCCATGACCATAGCAGCAGCTGGAGCAGTGTGGCTGCACACAGGGTGTTCTTGGATCTGGCCTGGAGTCTCAGTAGCTCCAGCTTAATCTCTGACCAAGGTCCAGTCCCAGGCATCTTTCTCAAGTTCACTTCCAAATGATTGAGTAGATGACATGTTAGTTAAATACCAAATTATCTCAAGGGAGGAAACACTATCAACTAAAACAGTTTTGACTTGATGATTGCTTTCATGAGCCCATGGGAGAATCTCAGGAAATTCTCTGACCAGAAATTATTCTACCAGACTGGTCCAGGAAAACAGCATGGGAGTGGTTGACTTCAGCCCCTTCAATCCAGCACCGTGTCTGGACCTCCCCTTAAGGCTGGAAAAGTATGCAGAAACCACTGCAAATATTTATGCTAACAGAGCACCACAAACCATTTTTTTGCAAGTATCAGAGGAAAGGCAAAGGCTGACCAGATTTAAACAGTATATCCTCCCCTTCTCAGGAAGGCAGCAGTATCAATGATGCTTGACCAGAGCCATTATTTTCCCCCGGAGATGGGAACACAGCAGGGAACCATTTGATCTCTTTCACAACAGTGAACAATAAATCTTAGTAAAAACAGAAAGGTAGGCACCAAACTCATGACCGTCAGCCAGCCTTAGCTGAGTCCCATTGCTAAGTTAGATCACGCTGCCCCTGCTTGGACTTCCAGAGAAAAGCCAACTGAAGTGCTTGACATCTCTGACAAGTTTCACATGACAGGGGCAGAGCTCCCACTGAAGAATGAGTGTTTTCATCCTGTGGCTGGAAATTAAAGCCAGAATCATGAAAACGTTGACTACACCTGCTTAAACAAGCCACCACTGCTTGTTTCAAACCCACCTGGACAGTCCACGGCCAACCTGTTCCCTTTTGCAGCCCCTGCATGTCTGTTCTTGAGTCCTTTGTTGTCTAAAGCACGATGAAGTGCTGAATGGTAGGCTCAGCCTGGTGTGAGAGGCAGCTGTGCTCAATGTCCCACATCCCCACCGGCTCCATGCATCTCCAGTGCAATCGGTGGCTCTGGGCTCCTGCTCCATGGTTGCTGCAGGGCTCTGGGCAAGGGCCCGGTGTACAGTGTAGTGCACATCACCTCAAAGTTCCAGCCCCTGAAGTACAATCCTTTTGGTCATTCATATATTACAACCCTCTTTTTTTCTTTTTATTTTTTCTCCCTGTCCCATTTTGTTAAAAAAAATAAAGTTTTTTGGGTGTTTTCAGGTTTTGTTTCTTCGGATTTTCCTTCTTTCTTCTGAGCGTGTGGGGAACATGGTGGTTCTTGGGCCACTTCTTACTGGATCCCTCGAAAGAGACACATAGCAAAGATCATGGCAAACAGCTGGGAAGAGGAAGGGGGAAGAAGAGGGCAAAAACAAAACAGAGAACCATAAATGTCAGCTGCATCTTCCAGAAGACTGGCAAAGCCCTCCATGGCTCTGGGACCACCCCCATTGCTTTCTCCTACCCAGCAGTCAATGATACAGAGAGGGGGACCCTTACCACCCACAGGAGGCTGTGGCAAAACTCTTTCCTCTGCCCCTCCCTCCCATTCAAACTGTTAGTGGCTACAGCAGCAGCCTGATTTCATTCCCAAACTGCCCTTGGTGTCACAGGGGCACAGGAACCACAGTCCTTGCTCTGCACATCACTGCTACTGCCTGGCATGGGCACAGCACAGCCTTTGAGGGTGGCTGCTGCACCTCTGCCCAGATCTTTCTCCTTTGCACAAGATGGGGAGCTTTTAAAATACCCAGCCTTTCCCTGCAATGCCACAAGGACATAATTTCTGGGCTAAAACCATGTCTGCTGATTGTCTGTTCCTCAGAAGCATCGCCAAAGAAGAGGCTACTAATGCAGGACAATGAAAGTGCTCCGGAGCCCATGCTTTCAGTCTCTGAACAGAAGGTTAAAGCACAGGCAGGGTGCTTTAAAACACATTAACCAAGTGACAGATTAGTCAGCTGGCCGGGGCACTGTGGCAGTGGGAGCAGTGACTGCACAGGGCCCTGTGAAGAGCACTGTGTCCCCAGAGCCCCCTTGGCCAGCGTGGCAGGGCACGAGCTCTGTGCAGCCCAGCACGAGGTGGCACTGCAGGCTTGTGGCCTATTTCCCTGCCCTTTGTGTCAAAGGATCAAGGAGCCTCTTTCCAGGCAGTTAAACCCACAAGTTGATAGCCTGCTTGTACTTTGCCAGAGCACCTTTCCCTGGTGAGGAGGAGCATCTGCCTGTTTGCCTTGCTACTGGCACCTTACTGACACTGCTTTGTCCCAGTCAGACAACAGTCAGTACCTCAATAGCCAACACTCCGATGGCAAGAGCTCCTGCCAGGTACACGTACGTCTCAAAGGAGTTCAGGATCACGGTGTAGCAGCCCTAGGAAATACAAAACATGGTAAGATACACCTGAGCAGCACATTGTGTTGCTCTCACAAGGACATGAGGTGCTCTCAGACCCCAGCACCACAAGCTCGGCTCCCCGTCACCACCTCACCCAGCCCCATGGCACAGGAGGCAGAGGTCCACGGGACAGGCTGGGGAAGAGGAAGGTATTGCTGTAGTGTGCTGGGAGTGGTTCACACCCCTCACTGACCATGAGGAACTGTGAGCTCCTGCAGGGCAGAGAGGAGCAGCACAGACAGGAACTCCATCAGCAAAGGGCAGAGACTAAACACAGAGGGAAGGGCATGCACTGCAGGTGATAGACATCCCAGACTGGCTAGAGAAAAGGATGATTTATTTAAAGCCAAGACAGGAAATTCTTGATTCATCTCTC